GATAACATGGACTTCATTAAAATTTCTACTCTGCAAAAGATATTGTGAGGAGAATGAAAAGACTAGCCATGAACTAGGAGAAAATATTTACAAAACACATACCTGATAAAAGACCCGTATACAAAATATACAAAGAACTCTAACTGAACAATAAGAAAACACAGCTAAAAAATGGGCAACAGATCTGAACAGACAGATCACCAAAAAAGATATACGGATGGCAAATAAGCATATGAGAAGATGTTCAACATTATTTGTCATCAGGGAATGACAAAACAACAATGAGAGATCACTACCCATTTAATTTAAATGGCTAAAATCCAAAAGATAATACCCAATGATGTGAAGCAACAGGAACTCTCATTCATTGCTGTTGGGAATGCAAAATGGTACAGCCATTTTGGAAGACAGTTTTATAGTTCCTTACAAAGCTACAGTCTTACCACATAATCCAGCAATCATGTTCCTAGGTATTGACTCAATTAATTTGAAAACACATTCACAAAACACCCTGCATGTGAATGTGTGTAGTAGCTTTATTCTAAATTGCTCAAAACTAGAAGCAATCAAGATATCCTTCGACAGGCTAACTGATAAATTGTGGTACATCCATATGATGAAATAATATTTTGTGATAAAAAGAAATTAACAATAAAGCCATGAAAAGATATGGAGTAACTTTAAATGTACACTTCTTAAGTCGAAGAAGCTATTCTGGAAAGGCTACATAATGTATGATTTAATTATTTGACATTTGGAAAAGGTGAAACTATAGAGACAGTATGATCGCCAGGGGTTTGGGGGCAAGGCTGAATAGACAAAGTACAGAAAAATTTTAACATGTTGAGAATGTTCTGTATGATACTACAATTGTGGATACATGATTGTATGGAGTTGAACTTTGTGGTGCAAGAAGTAAACCTTAATGAATGTAAACTTAAAAAAGTCATTTAGGAGGTTGGAGATTCAAGGATGGAATGTAGACGTGGTGATAGACTCTAATTGTATTACAAATGGATGAGACCACCTCATTGAAGGTTAGAGGAACAGTGCTGACCTAAGCATCACTGGAAATAAGTGGCATCTGTGAAACCAAAGGCAAAAGGAACTGCACATAAGCACTGTATTCTAGTTAATAATTTCACATGGGGATATGGGTTAACAATTCTGATATTGCTATACATGTATACTGGAACTGAACAATTAAGTAAATGGATGGTGGATGGTAGAAACCAGGTTTCTCACTGTTAGACTGGGAGGTTACAGGGAAGCAAGTGGAAAGGCTAGGATGATCCATGTGGTAATAGATTAGAGTTGGAGACATCAACAAGAACTCATATTTAATATAGGTACAGATGATTACATATAGAAATATTTAGAGATATGTGTTAGTACTACGGGTTAGTATACACATATATGTCCTTGCTGTTAGCTAAGAAGGCCTAAAAGAAATGACAGTCCAATAGCAGTAAACATAGCTAGTACCCAGACCTTGATTTCTAGTAGATTTTTATTCTCTAATAAAAGGAACCAGGGATCCTTATAAAAATGGCTGATTCTATGACTAGAAAGGAAAAATACAGGAAATATACAATGTGAGTCTGGAAACAGAAAGTAAGGAAGCTGAAACAATTTGAGCAACAAAATAAAGTAGTATTGGATTATAAACCAAACCACAAAATAAGTATCCATAAATCCATACTGATATAAATGACTGAATAAACTAATAAGTGGAGAGAGGAGACACATCTTCTTTGCAGAATTCCAAATAACTTATGTAGATCCTGTGCCCTCAAAGAGAGAGAACATAAACCCCCACTCTTTAAATGTGGGATCTGCAGAGTGACTCCCTTCTCAAGAGTGCAATATGGAAAGGAGGAATGAGAGTAACTTTATAGTAGAGAAACCTGACAAACACTACCTCAGTCAGATGATCACAGCCAACATCACAGTCATAAATCGTGGGATTTGATGAGATGTGATGAAAACAGCACTTCTGTGATCTTCCTTCCCAAAATCCATAACCCTAGCCTAATCATGAAAAAAAGCATCAGACAAATTCCAGTAGTGGGACATCCTAAAAAATACTGCATTAGTACTCCTCAAAATTTTCAAGGTCATCAAAAACAAGAAAAGTCTGAGAAAATGTCCCAGCCAAGAGGAGCCTAAGGAGATGTGATGGCTAAGCATAATGTGGTGTCCTGCATGAGATCCTGGAACAGAAAAAGAACATTAAGTAAAAACTAAGGAAATATAAATAAACTATGGACTTTAGTTAATAATATATCAATGCTGGCTCATGAATTGTAACAAACGTACCGTACTAATGGAAGATGTTAGTAAGAGGAAAAACGGTGTGGGGCATATGGAACTCTGCATTATCTTTGCAGTTTTCCTGTAAATTTTAAACTATTGCAAAAATAGTCTATTTTTTAAAAAAATCAACCCAAATTTACTATTTTTCAAACTACACGTAGTGTTCACTGGGGAGAAATCCATGATTTTAAGGAACACATATGTTCTCTTCCATCCCCAAGGAGACAGAGGTAATTTATCCACATCAGCTGAGCCCTATGGAAGCATTTGTACAGGAGGCAAAACACAAAGACCATTTCAAAGCCCTACAATGCAACCTGTATTCATTCCCAAGTGAAAGCCAGGTTTCTAGGAACAAGTGCATGGTTGGTTGTTTGTTTCCAGGGCTGAGAATGGGAAGACAGGGCTTCCTCATTACTTGGAGGTCTGGTAGGGTCATTTCTGCTTTCCCAAAAAGGGTTCTGTCCTACCATCTGTGCAACCATCACTGAAGGTACAGTGCTCTCTTTAATAATCATTAATTTCTGGAAATGATGTCTATCCCTGGTCCCTGATTAGGGTCTTCACACCATGGACTTTTATATTAGTTTTCTATTGCTGTAGTTACAAATTACCATAAAGTTGGTGGCTTGAGACACCACAGATTTAATAACCTTATGGTTCTATAGGTTAGAAGTCCAACATGGGTCTCACTGGACAAAATCACTTTGGTGGCAAGGCTGTGTTCCTTTCCGAAGGCTCTAGGTGATGATCCATTTTCTTACCTTTTCTAGCCTCTAGAGGCCACCTGTATTCCTTTGCTTGTAGCCCTTCCTCTGTCTTTAAACCAGCAATGGAGGGGAATGTCAAATCCTTCTCACATTGCATTACTCTGACAGCTTCAACTTTTAAGTACCCTGTAAGTACATGGGGCTACTAGAATAATCTCTTCATTATAGAGGTTACCTGATTAGCAACCAAAATTTAATCAGCAACTTTTATTTGCCTTTTCCATGTAAGATAACATTCACAGATTCCAAGGATTGTGACCTGGACATCTTTGGGGGCCATTATCCTGCCTATAACAGCCTCTCTGGTTAAGGGGACAAGTTCTGTTCTCAGTACTCATTCTTGCCTACAACATGTGGGTTCCTTTTTCTTCTGTGTGAGATTGCCAAAAGAAAATGAAAATCTCAACCCTCTCCACCTCAGCCTTTAAACCAGAGGAGTCTTATTACTTTTAACTAAAAGGATACTTGATTCAGCAGCCATAGTACATGAGCATCAGGTAAATATGGGAGTCAGCCCATGGTGGCCTCAGCAGACTGTCAGGGTCTCACCATACTCCCCTCTACTTGATACAGCTGTTATGCACCAGGCTCTGACATCTAGCCCTTGGAGTGAAGCCAAAAAAGGGAACTTAGAGGCTAGTGTTGTAATGAGAGCTGACAGGGGATCTACAGTCCTGACTCTTATCGTTTCCATGAGAGTCTTTGTCTTGGTCAGTTTTATAGTCTCTGCAGAGTTGGAAGGCTGCCAAGGCTGGACATTTATTCATTGTTCAGCCAAGCACATGATTCAACTGCCCTCCAATTGCCAGTAAGCACAGAGGGAGATGGATGTGCCATTGGCTAGCTTTGGGCAGTCAAAATAATCTGAATTGAAACATTGGTGGAGGTCTCAAGTAAACCATGGGAGTTTAATTAAAACACTGCACAGGCACAGAGGGTCTTCACCAAATACATTACTGTTCTTTGTCTTTTGCCATTATCTCTTTAGATTAAGAACCAGAACCATTTCCTTGGTTTTAAAGGTCTGCTCCTACTTAAGCAAAAGATGGTGTGGATATGCCATCCTGGGAGTCTATAACAGAAAATGCCAAGCCATTGTGCATATGTGTGCATCTGTGTGCCTCCATGTACCCTAAGCACTTGTAACAGCCTTGAGGAGTACACAGAGCTTGATCTGGGATGCTGGCTAATTATGTGTGAAGGGTAGCTACAACGAACGACCAGGACAGCCAGTGTAGAACTGGCACTATTTCTTCCATTCATAAACATGTGTGGACATCTCTGGTGCCAGGGGCTGGGTCAAGAGCTATGGATACAAATATAAATAAGTACTTCTTTTCTGGGGTAAGTAGGTTCCTGAAAGGCAGCCTCTGAGTGGCCCTCAGAGCCCAGCACAGTGCCAGGCATACAACAAGCACTCTATAAGTGTTCAGAGGATGCTTTAGTTAGAGGAGGGAGGGAGGGGAAAGACTGGTACAGAAACTGCAATGCAATATAAGGACCTCCACCCAGTTCTGAACCAAGTCCTCAGAGCAGAGTGCCTTTCTAAGGTAGAAGAAGCAATAGAGGAGCATGTGGGGGACGCAGAGGCCACCAGAAGGCCAGTAGGGCCCCAGGCACCCGGTGTGCTTGGATTTATCTTTGGGTATCACCTGAGTCAAGTGTCTTCATTTCATTCTCTGTGGCTCTTTGACCTTCCTGTCTATATCCTCATTTATAAATCCTGAACAGCCAGTCACTTATTTTTGCAGTGGCTCACTGCTGCATAAAAAATGCCACATCAAATATTAGTCCACTTGAATTCCTAAGTGGTGGCCTCCATTGAAACAAGGGCTCTGGGTGTAGCTGGTGAGTGAGCACAGCGTTGTGTTTTGTTTGGATCAATTCACTGGTCTATTCTGGGTTTGTCTGAAGGTCTGTCAGTGGTTTATCCTGAAGGAGTACAGTTTGTGTCAACTCTTGAAAATGAAGGATGATGATGGTGGTGAGAGAACACACACACTGCACTTCCTTTGTACCAGGTATGTAGATGTGGCACTTAAAAAAAAAGCTCATTTAATCTTCCAACGATTCAATAAGTAGGTACTACTATTATTCCCATTTGACAGATAAGGATACTGAGGCTCAGAGAGGTTATGTAACCTGACCCAGGCCACACAGATAGAGTGAAAGCCAGATTTGATCCCAGGCCAGCTAGCTCCAGGGTTTACATCCTTAACGCTACACTGTATATTGTTTCAGTTTTATATTAGAACATTTCTTTTTATTATTATTTATGCCTACAGCACCTGGTCTTCCTAGGTGGTCTCCCATCCAAGTACTAACCAGGTCCAACCCTGCTTAGCTTCCAAGATCAGACATCGGGCTTGTTCAGGGTGGCATGGCCATAGACCATGGACCATGACTCTACTGAGGTGCAAACTCAGGACCTTCTGCGTGTAAAGCAGATGTGCTAACCACTACGTTATGGAACCACATCCTATATTAGAGCATTTTTAATGACCATGTCTAAAACATGGCCACTTCTGCATTCCCACATAAAGCCAGAAGGTCTCAAAGCCAGGTCTCATGGGGAAGAATCTTGTGTATGCTAAGTCCTATGGGTTGTCTGGTCACCCTATTAGGGCTCAGCCTCTGTAAGGACGGATTAAAAAGGTGGTGATATTTGAGCAGTATTTCTGTTTTTTTAAGTAATGGCTTGTTTTATTTCTGGCTAGAAAAGAAAAACATGCTTATTTAAGATAACTTTGAAAATATTAAAAAAAAAACTAAGAGAAAATCCTACTGCTTAGAGATAAAATGTTAACGTTATATTTTTTACAAGATTTTCTGTTTTCTACACACACACGTGCACACACACAAACATACTGGATAAACACATAGCCTTTTATAATATTACGTAATCTTATTATCTTTCCGTATGCCATCAAAAATATCACTTTCAACGGCTTCCTCAATCTCTCTTGAAGGTACGCACATATGCTACTTAATCGTTCCTTAACCGTGGGACATTTAGGTGGTTTCCAATCTTGGGGAGAAGTGGCTGAGTCTGGAAGGTTGAGTCAATTGCCAGCCATGGAAGAAGCAAATGAGAAGGGGTGGGCTGCAGAATCCTGTTCTTCAGATTATGACACTACGCCGCTGCCACTCAAAATACACATTTCCTTAACCCTGACTCTGAGGTGCCCGTGCTGGAGACTTGGCGATGAGCAGGATGTGAGTCCTGGTCCTGACCCTGCTCAGGTCTAGTCTACAGGATGCCAGGCAATGGTGGGTGGGCAGGTTGCTTTCACCGGAGCACAGCACAATCTTGAGGAAACTTCTGAAAACAGGGGACAGGAGGTAACCCGAGCTGATCTCCTGCCACCAGCCAGGCCCTATGCCGAAGGTTTCTGTTTATTATTCATCACCTACAACACTTTTGGAGAGGAGACACCTTCTTCTCGGGGACAGAGCTGAAGTTTTAGAACTAGTTCATCACCACACCATCGTGATCACGGTGCTGAGAGAAGCCTGGGAATCCTTCATCTGATAGAATGAGGACTTGTAAAATGTACTCATTCCCTTCCTCCTACTCTTAAACACTGATTGAGCACCTGCCGTATGCCATACACTATTCTAGGAAATATCTAACCCTTGTCCTAGGAGCTCAGTTCTATATACCTAGAGTCTGAGTGGGCTGTGGGCTGACACAGGCATGGCTCCAGGTGACAAGGGAGCACCAGGCTAGCCTTGCACTGCCAGGAGGGACCACAGAGGGCTTCATAAATAAGGTGGTATGAGACCCTTTTGTAGGCAGGACAGATCTCTGTTCTCTCCATCTCACTTACCACCATTTGTAAATATACATCTGTATGTATATCTGAAGACCTCTGTCTCCATTATTTTGAGTGCTCCAAGAGGATTGAGGCCTTGCCCACCACTGCACTGCCAGTACCTGCCACACGATAAGTGCTTAATGTGCATTTACTGAATCAATCAATAGTGTGGCAACGCTGGGCTCTGAGCAGTCCTCCCCTTCCAGCAGGGTTCCCGGCCAAATAAACGGCTCTACCTCCTACATCAGAGCCAAACACTAAACTTGGGTGGGTCTGGGCTTTAAGAAGAGAAAGATAAGGAACTGGAGGCAGTAAAACAGAAAATAGAGAAAATGTGTGCTAGTTCTGAGTATAAGGGTCTGAGTCACTTAGTTGGAAGCATTTTTACTTCCTGTCCCAAGCTGGAAATCTGGGGACCATCACATTAGAAGTAAAAATATGCTGCCAGACATTGTGCCTCACAAGAGCCATTGCAGCGCCCTGTTGTTTTGTTTTTTTTTTCTAAACCAACAATCCATGTTGACAGCAAATCTGTACAGAGAACCTATTAAAAGAAATTGTAGAAAATCGGAGATGCTTTAACTGTCTGTCTGGCATCCTGCTGATTGCATGCCTGACACTTTCACTGTAGCTTCCTTTTGTACAACTTCCCATTTAATTCAATTCCATGGATAATTATTGAGTCTTGACTATGTGCAAGGCAATGCATTGGGGGCCTCATTCCAGTTTCGTCTTCCAGGCCCAGAGCATAATTTAACTTATGGACAAAAATTACCATGCACAACAGAAGCATAGAGCGACAGAGGCCACCAGAAACTGTACAGACTATTTTAAACAAAGTAAGTTTTTACCCATGTGAGCAAGTGCGGGATAGCTGGTACCATGCACTTATTCATTTGCTTAAATAGTCATTAAAAGCACTGCCGAGCAACTTTACTGGCCCCGGCCTGTGCTGGATCCTGGGGTCAAAGGGATGAATAAGACTCTGCCCAGAATACAGCATGGTACCTTGTGGGAACCAAAGCAGTATCACTTAGCTCATCTGGCAGTGGAAATCAGAGAGGACTTCTTAAAGGAGATGCTTCATTTGCTTCTTAAAGTAGAAGCAGGAGGAGTTCGCCAGAGAAAGAGGGAGCAAGACATGTGAAAGAGCTGGCATGTTTTGGGGAAGATTGCTAAAGATTAATGCTTCTATGGGGTGTCAAAGTTAAGCCAAGGGCTAGAACACAGAAAGTGTGGATTTAATCCTGAAAACAATGGGAAGCCACTGAAGGATAAGAAAAGCAGAGTTATGTGAGTTTGCAGGATGCTGGGGAAAGGTTCCCTAGTGTTCCCACCTAAGCAGAAGTCTTCCTGGGATGGGACGTATACCGGCATAAGGCAATCTGAGCTGGCCTGGGCTCTGGCCAATCCATGGGAGATTTTGGATTAATCCCAGCTCTGCCTCTTACTTAACTTTCTTCCTTTCTGAATAAGAGTCACAATCAATAAGCTCACAGGTTTGTAAAAGTGTAGATAACATAACACACACACAATGCCCAGCCTAGTAGGACATGCCTTAGTAAGCTTCAGTAAGCTGTCAGTCTACCCTTCCTCACATTTCCCAGTGAGTGTGTATCAGCACCAGGGGAGAGAGGGATTGCTCAGAGATGATCTAATGAAACAAGAATGACTTTGGCAAGCTGAGAGAGCTCAAGAGCAAAATTGGAGAAGACTAAGAAATGATGACCTATCCCCTTGTCTTGGGTTTCAAACAGATAGAAAGGATAGTGATAGAATAGAAAAAGGCCCATGAAATGTTTTACAAAGCAGGACATTTTGGAGCTAGTGGCATGGTTGGAGGAAAAATATTTTATGGATGTTATGTAGACTGGAAGGTGGATCCTGGAAGAAGGTGGGTACCGCGTGGAGATGGCAGTCGGGGTGACAGCGGTGGTGGTTTCAATGGGTAGTAGTGTAGTCAGGCACTAGTGGTGATTGGTTTCGATGAATTTTCGTAGGTGGAGAAACATGGTGCTCAATACCCATAGCCCCTAGATTGCGGCATGTAAATAATGATGCCATCTTCCATTAAAAAGAATCAAGGCTCCTTGGAGAAATGGATGATTCTAGATCTGAGGCAAAAAATATACAAAATGAACCTGAAACAACTTATTGTCAAAAACCAACAAGTTATGAATTTCTTCTAGGTCAGGTCGTATCAAAGAGGCTTCTACTGGCCAAAGACAGAAAAATTAGAGCACCAATAAGGATAATAACTAAAATGGATTGAAACACATTGAATATATTTAAATCCACGAGTTCATAATGATACTAGAAAAAGAAAAGAACACCTCTCTCATCACCTCTGGAAGATGCTAAGAAAACCACTCATTTTGAAAACTGGTAAACAAAAGAAAAAAGCTTATATTTTTTCCTGTCATTCTAAATCAAATAGTAACTGTGGCTGACTAAATACTTGAGGGAAAGTTTATCTTTACAAACCATGTTATCTAATAAATGATGATGTAATAAATGAATTAGGATATAACCATTTGGAAACCCCTAACGAATTAATGTATCTAGGCAATGATCACTAATGGCTCCTCATGAATGAAGAACAACAAAATGTAATGCCTCCCCTTGCCTCCAACCACCACAGAGACACACTGCCACCAGTCCTAGAGCTACCTACCGATTTTCAGGAAATGCAATTATCAGAAGAACATGTTAACTGACACCATTAAGATACAACTAGCAAAATATAGACTGTGGGACACTCTCTAGATTTCTTCAATAAATATATTTCAAGGAATACATGGACCACATTTTGATCCTGACTCCAACAAATTGTAAAAATGATAAATGAAATCATCAAAATTAGAAGACTAAATAACTGAAGATGTTAAATTACATTTTTGTCTACATGTCATATAATTGTGCTTTAAAAAATAATTCTTATCTTTAGGAGCTAGAACTGAAATATGTATACTGAAATGATATGTCTGGAATTCACTGTGAAAGAATTTTCTGGCAGGGGCTGAGGGTCAGATGGGAGGTATAAATGAAACAAGATCGGCCATGGATTAATCATTGTTGAAAAGGGTGATGGGCTCATTGAGGATGTATTACACTATTTCTTCCTACCTTTGTATAAGTTAGACATTTTCAACAGTAAGATTTTGATTTTTTTTTTCATGGTATTTAAGAACTACATTCTGAATGAGGGGAGCAAACCACAAGCTTGTTTTGTAAAATGAGACAGATCAGGGAAAGAAACTAAGAACAAGGTCAATCTGGAAAAAATAATGCAACTAACGTGGTAAGCATAGACTAATATTCTTAACATATAATGACTTCATTATAAAAATCCGTAATAACAGTCTACCAAAGCCCCTAAGGTGAGTTAATAAAATACATTAAGTGGCAAGTCGTATAAAGAAAAAAATATATATATATATATAAGTAACTAGTAAATATCAAGGAAAGTATTCCTCACCATTGGTCTCCATAGAGATGTAAATGAAACAATGAGATGCCTGTCAACAGCAGCCCAGGACCCTCTCAGCACCTTTCTTCCCTAGGCGTCTGCTCCACCCACCACCCCAATCAATCAAAGGGCAAACACCAGAGCTGCTTAGGAGCAATCCAGGAGTCAAAACCTCTGGATCTCTTAAAGTCTCCTGCTTTCCTCCCAGAGTTGCTATTCTCTCTGGCTGGGACGTTCAACACAAATGCCTTCCCAGGGGTGCAAATGAGTGAATTTAGGGGTTTAAACATTCATCAGTTGGGAATTGGCTGTTAATCTGTGATGAAAGCATGGTAGACCCGAGGGGGTTCCGGGGAGCCAAGAAAACTCACTCCCCATGGCCATCCCTTGGGCTCCCATGTGGCTGAAATTTCCTCATGGCCACCCCTTCTCCTTTATTAGTTGTGGTCTTTTCAGAATTGGGATCAAGGAGCCCAAACTCTTGTAACCTTTAACCTGTAAACTCCATGGGGAGGCATTTCAGCCCAACCATAAACCCAAACAAGTGAATTTTCAAACCATGTTTAATTTGGGTAGAAACTGAGTGGAAAGTCTTGCCAAGAACTTGCATGTGCATCAATCAAAAGCCATTTCGATTCCTTTCTTAATCTATTTATTCCAAACTATTTGGGAGAATTGGAAAAGCCCATTAAGCATTACCGATTATGAGCTCTTAAAGATATCTGTCCTGTTCATATGGCTGTCACTAATGAGAATTACAACACCCTCTCTGCTCCAGCATAGAGTAGAAGCCAGGTGTTAAGTCTTAGGGAAAGCATTTAGCAGGCTAATAGCTCACAGAGGCCAAAAGCTTCTTTCTACGCTTTCAGAATGCATACTTAGATTTAGCATTGAGTAAGTGCAGAGGACAGCAAGCAGTGAAATTAGGTAGAGCTTTGCTTTCATGAGTCTTTCGTCCCTTTGTTTCTTTGTTCATCTTCACCTCCTCCCTCCATCCTTAAACATCTTACACACACACACACACACACACACACAATTCTCCCTCTCACCGTCCCTCCCTCCCCAGCTATCTCTAACAACAGAGCTAGGCTAATGCAGGTCAGGACCATATTAAAAAACCTTCCAAAGCAAGCAGAATGGGGAAGGCACCTACCATCTCAGAAGCCGAGACACCAGAGATGAGCCAGAAGCTGGCCAGGGCAACTCCAACAGAAAATTGCTCCCACGGTAGCATGTTCGACTTTGCCCAGGCTTTGACCTACCTTTAGGGCAAAGTGCCCCGCAGCCCATGGTCTAGGATTTCAGCCACAGTCATGGTATCTTGTGCCCAGAGCTGACCTCTCCCTGTGGTGGCCCACACCCTTCTGCTTTCAGGCTAATTTTCAGAGGTCTGGAGGTCTGCGAAGCTATAGGATCTTTTCAACCGTTTCCTGAGGAGAATGCTGCCTGCTCGACACAACTGTCAGCTCAGTACATCGGTTGAGAACAAGTGGCTGCCTATATAATTTAATATGATGCCACATGAGACTCATAGACCTGCTGCAAAACAAGCAGGATTCTGCCTCTTGCCTCTTGGCAACTGGAAATCTGGAGTTCCTGCTTGTTTCTGCTCAGCCTAGGTATATACCTCAAGTTACCTGTCAGAGCTGGGCACAGGTAAAGATTGGGCTGGGTATTTTTAAGGGGTCAACTGATGGGAGCCACTGAGAAGTCAGTGTCATCTGGGGGGATCTAAAATTTCTTAATCTACCCACAGATTCAAGGTCATAAGCATCTCCTCAGGCAGAGGCAAGTTATAGTTGCAGCTGGGTGACTCCAGGCAGCCCTGGACACATAGAGGCTATGCCGTGAGGACAGAGCATAGCCTTTTCTCAGTTATGGGGGAACCTGTCCTTTCAGGACAGATAACCTAAACCTGTAGTTAGATGGTGAAGATGTGAGGGCCTCTATATACGCATTAGAGGCATGAACTTAGAATTTTAGGTATGTGTTAAGGACAAGATAAACTTTCTTATATTTGAATACTTGTCACTGTGATCCTTTGGGTTTGTTGGCTGGTTGGTTTAATGCAAAGCCCTGCTGGGGAGGAAGGCCCTGGTACTGTGCACCTGTTTTACTTGTAGATAAAGCAGGGAAGTGACCTAGTACCAGCAACAGGCTAAACAGACTCCTCAAACACTGGGACCAGTTCACCTGTGCCCTGATGGAGTACCCCTGCGTAGACCCAGGATTGGTTCCCAAGATGCCAGATCTTGGGGCATTCAGCAGGGATGTCCACTACTGTGGTAAGTCCTCCAGGACCCTCTGCCAAAATCACCCTGCCCCAGGGGTGGACAGAAACTAGGCAAGGTAATAAGGAAGATGGTCCTGCCGAGAGTCAGTCCTAGGGAAAATCTCTGGGCTGGAATGAGGCACCACGCCATTCTTACCTCCTGCTGCAACTAACCCCAAACACCAAGGTATAGATTGTGCTGAGAGACAGTGCTGCAGAGGTGCTCAAGGATGCTCAAGAGCCCAGGAGCATCAGATACCTAGAAAGGGCTACAGACATGGTGCTTTGTGCACTCGAATGAAGGGAGTGGGTTAAGCTCCAGAGATTGACCTAGACCCTCCTCTTCAGTCCCCTCTAGTGGGCTGGCAGCACCAGTGATGGATGAGGTTATGTTGTTATCTGGGGGGGTGGGGGTGAGTAGCAGCAGGAGGCTATCTGGGGGTACTTTTCCCTTTTGGAAAAAGGTGCTACTACTCTAAGGCTCTGCAGACCACCCAAAAGCCCTAGGAGAAATCCTGGGACGTAATTACTATGCTACCCACGAACATTTGAAAACAGAGCCTTTTCCTAACCATCAGCTTTCTACTTATCATCTAAGAAGCATCATGTTCTTCAAATAGCCAATACCCAAAGTATGGAAATTCAGCTCACATTTTTTTATTAATAATTATTATGTGGCTGGGATTAAGGTGACCTTGCACACATTATCTCATTTAATCTATGGGATGCAGAATTTATAGAAGTGAATTTATGTCATACCTGCTGCCTAACAGATCAGAGCATGTAAAAGAGAAGTCTAGAAATAGCACTGTAGGACTGGACTAAAAGGTTCTGATTCACAGCAAAGGAAATTTAATTAAAGTATATAATGTCAATTACTGTCATTTATAATCATATTATACCTCCCCAGAAATAATACAGATATAAAAGTCTAGAGTTACCTGCATGTTTGATGTAAATAGGATGAAATTATCTAAGTTCTGAAAATGTCCAGATATCAGAAGGAAGAAAGTATCTCTACCTAGTCTCATGTGTCATCAAATTTCATTAGCAAAGGACATGAGCATCCAGCTACAAGGAAGCCCATCCCTCCTCTGAGAACAGGTCGTAAAGACTTTCAAAGGTGCCTAGAAATCTGGGCTTTAACAGGTCGTGACGTTTTTACATTCTGTAAATAATCATTCATTCCCTGATTGTTTTCACAAAGCCCAGGAGAGGCCAGAGAGCTGATGCTCTCACCCCATCCCGATCACTTTTTGGATTCTATATGGTGATAAGGACCAGATCATTTCATGGGGTAGCTTCAATGTCCAAGGGAGGGAAGGAACCACAGGAAAGCACCAGGGCAGAGAAAACATGGCACAACTGCCAAGCCACAGGTAGGTCTTAAAAGGTGGGCATCTAACACCCTACTACTTCATTCCCTTGTCCCTTAATCACTTTTGGAGTGTGCATTATTGCCAGATCCTGAGCTAAATAGTGGGGTCACTATGGAGAGCAAGAGAGCAACAAGGTCCTTGCATTCTTAGGGTTAAGGTGCATGGGGGAGACGATTGCTAACTTTAAAAATTTATAAATTCATAAATACAAGGTAAGCTCCACCAAGTCCTAGTTTCTGCATATCTAAAATGGGTTAATACTAAGGAATATCTATTCTGTGGGGCCACAGCAAAGATGAAATGAGGCAATATGTACAAAGTCCTTGGCTTAATACAAATCAATAAAAATTGTACAGCTACAACTATTACTATGATTACTACTAATGAGTGGCTTCACCAGTTACTAGTTCTGTGACCTTGGGCAATTTTATTTAACTTCCTCACATTTCAGGTTTTCCATCTGTAAAGCTGGATAACAAAAATTCTTAAAGAAAAAGATCAAATGAGTTAATATGTAGAAAGTGTTTGGAACAATGCTGGCACACAGTTAGAGTTTGATAAATGTTATTTGCTAGTAATGATTATTATTTTGCTAGAATCTTAAAATATCATATCAGCTCATAATATGCTCACAGTCTAGCCCAGGGTTTCTCAACAGAGGCACTATTGATGTTTTGGACTGGGTAAGTCTTTGTCGTGGGGAGGCCATCCTATGCATTGTAGGGTGTTTGGTAGTATCCCTGGCCTCTACCCACTAAAAGCCTAGAGCATCAGCCCCTGCCCCCAAAC